CCCCTTCCTCCTCCTCTTCTTCTTCTTCGCGGCCTTCTTGCTGCCCTCTTCATGTACCTGCTGCTGCTGCCACTGCATGCCACCACCATTATACCACCACCTCTTTCTCCCAACATCTCTCAAGACGTCGACTTCGTCGTCTTCTTCCCTCTTAGCTCCCACCGCCGCCGCGGTACTCGATCCCATCGTCGCGTCCGCCATAGCTAAGCTCGGCCTCGCCCCCCCACCCTCCATCCTCCACACCCCTGACACAGAAGAACACGATAACGAAGAAGAGGAGGAGGGAGAAGGAGAAGGATAAGAAGACATACACGTGTCTGCCTCCCGGCAGTCCGTCCACGTGTACACTACAGGCGGCTGCAACACCGCAGGGCCGCGATCGGGGCTTGCGCTTCTCAATTGGGGGTTACTGACCCCCTCCTTAGGAGTCGTCCTGGACCCGTACGCCACGTTGACCAGCGGCGGGGATCCCAGCGGGCCTTTCTTCCTTCTTCGACTACGACTATGTCGAACGAGGCGCATGCTCCGCCCCATGCCGGGTGCAGCACTGGCAGCAAATTTCTCCTCTCCCATCTTCTGCTCCTCTGGCTGCCTCAGCGCTCCCGCGGCAGCTGCTGACCGATGAGGACAGAATTGCCCATCCTGATCTCTGTGCGCATTCTCTACTCTCATCATCTCGGACGACAGCGACACCGGCACGGTGGAGGAGGAGGAGGAGGAGGAGGAGATCGCTGGTGCAATAGCAGCGGCGCGCTTAAGATCCCAGAACGAGGGATCATCATCCAGCTCGGCAGCAGGCACCAGTTCTCCTCGAGTCGGGGGCGAAAGAGACCTCAGCCAGTCGCAGCGCAGCGGCAGCGAAAGCCTTCCCCGTCTCGGCAGTAATGGCGCCGAGGGGAAGGAGGGGGAGAGGGAGGAATTGGATGGGGAAGGAGAGAAAGTGGAGGAGGAGGAGGAGGAGGAGGAGGAGGAGGAGGAGGAGGAGGGCGTTGAGTTGTCGTTGGCTATTTGATTTCCCTTTGTACCTGTCACCTGCGCCGCCTCTGCGCGGGGCAGCCGCTCTGTCCGCACGTGCGCGCCACGTGGCGTTGATCTCCGAGCCGAGTCGACGCCCTTGCGCAGGGCTTCGTCAATCGCTTCCAAGACTGACAAGGCAATGCCGAAAAATGGATCTGATCGAAGACGAAAGTGCACGGATCTCGAGACACGTGTCTCGAGATCCTTCACACCCACTTTCGTCCTGGAAGAAGACGAAAGTGAACGGATCTCGAGACACGTGTCATTATTGTCTCGCTCCTTGAACATTCTGTCCGCCATCGCCATCCACTCCCCCATCCTCACGGCACTCCTTCCTCCTTCCTCCTGTAATCCTCCCCCTCTGCAGACAACCGTTGATTTTGCGCCGACGCAATTATAATAAGTTAGTTAATTAATAGTCCACATGGCTGTTACTTAGTGGTTCGTCATGGCTGTTCCTGCTCAGCCTCGCACACTAATCTCCCCCTCATGCCCCTGCTCAGATTGAGTGAGCACCCTTTGCTGAAATGCACTGCTGCAGACCAGGGGGGATTACCCGGGTAAGGCTGACGACGGTGTACCATAAAGATCGGGTTTTGGGGGATTGCAGCAGCGCGGAAGTCGAATGCCCTATGGTAGGCATGAGCAATCAAAGAAGAAGAAGAAGAAGAAGCAGAAGGAGCAGAGACAGGAGGGAGGGGACAGACAAGGGGGGAAGGGAAAGAGAAAGAGGAGGGGGGGGGAAGGGGAGGGGAGCGGACTAGGTGGCGAGAGTCTTGACAAGACCATAAAGATCGGGTTTTGGGAGATGCAGAAGCCGAGTGGGAAGAGCAGAAGCCGAAGGCTTTAACGATGATCTAGCAAAGCCGAAGAAGAAGAAGAAGAAGAAGAAGAAGAAGACGAAGACGAAGAAGAAGAAGAGGAAGAGGAAGAGGAAGAAGAGGAAACAGCAGGAGGAGACAGGAAGGAGAAGGAAGAGAGGAGGAGGGGGAGGGGAGGGGTGGGGGAGGGGAAGAGTGGCCTTAAGATAATCGGGGAAAGAGGAGGACAACGACGACGACGTCGACGGAGCGGAGGAAGAAGAACGCAGGAAGAGAACCGGGAGACCGCAGCTCATCGACTACCAATCTTGGCGGCTACTTGTCAAACACTGTCTAGAAGAAGAAAAAGAAGAAGAAGACGGAGGAGGAGGAGGAGGAGGAGGAGGAGGAGGAGGAAGAGGAGGAGGAAGGTGCTCGAGAGGTGAACCTTAGAGGATTCTCGATTGGAATATCGAGTTGATAAAAAAAAAAAAAAAAAAAAAAAAATAGTGGACAAGATGGAAAGAAGAAAAAGGAGGAGGCAGGGGAGGAGGAGGAGGAGGAGGAGGAGGAGGTGAAGGAGGAAGGAGATGGAGCAAGGGAGGGAAAGGATGTCGGGGAGGTTGACGACGGTAATGGTGTTAAGCGAGACAGGTGGGACTTCAGAAGCGAACAGCGGAATCGATGGGGACGGAATAAACACCGGCCGAAGCACATCACAGGGTGGTGTCCGTTTCTTCACCCTTCCCCCTCCCCTCCCACCCCCTCCCTCTCTCCACTCTCCGTGCTCCCGTTAATCACCTATTACAGGTACAACTCCACCCCTTGAGCGCATCTTCACTCTTCCATGTCATCAGTCTCCGACTTTCCGACTGGCTCAAGCTGCTGCAGCTGATCGCGTGCGGGGCGGGCAAGTTGATCAAGAAGTGTCCACCAATCAACCGCCCGCGCGAAAAACCTCCGACACCAGATCGTCCTTCGGCCAGTTGGGGACCTGTTTTGTTTTCATTTTTTTATTGAAAAAGTGAAAAAGGCACATACAATCATATTTCGAAAACGTTCCCAACACACACACACACACACACAACAAAAACAAAAAAAAAAAATTTTGCAACAACAAAAAAAAAAAAAAAAAAAAAAAAAAAATCGAAAACGATTGAGACGAGGCCGGGGTCCAAGTCCCACTACGGTAGCAGCGTTGAGTTTTGAGTTTCCCTCAACGCCTCAATGTGGATGTGTTTGTGGAGATGTGCGGCTGAAGAAACTCAACGCGATTTTTTGATGCACCTCTCCATTGTGGAGACTCAACGCTGCTACTACCAGGTAGTGGGACTTGGGCCCGGGAACCACTGGGCCATTACCCTGCTTCGGCTTATTCTGAAAACCCGGTCCAGCGTCCCATATCCTTCAAACCTTTTCTGATCTGAAAATTTCCCTGGAGCTCAGAATCATAGAGAGATTGAGGGCATACTCACACTAGCACTTTTCGAAATGCATCTGACTGCCATTGCGGCCAGATTTGGATGCATCTGACCGCAATCACCTCCATAAATATGTAAAAAGGTCTTACTGTGAGATGCCCTGAGCGAAGAACATAGATTCGACCGCCAACACCCAGCAACAGAGGTCTGACGAGGCCAACCTAGACTGGTACTCCTGCCCGAACCTCGGTCCCAGTCAGGCCTAATACTCTCGGCCCAGCCCTTCTGCCTAACACATCACATCATACAGGAAACACTAATTATCCTCCAATTATTGCGGGGCCTAAATCGGCCTCGAAGGAATGTCGTTGACTACAGGCCTAAAATGCTCCACCATAACTTGCAGTTGAAGATGTGTTGCAGGTCAGGGGGGTGGCCAGCAGCCTAGCACGATTTTTCATCTGACTATATATCCAGTTGGGCACAACTTCATGAAATTCTTCATTTGTAAGCAATGCCTCTCTGTCAACCCCCCCCCCCCCCCCCCCCCAAAAAAAAAAAAAGGGCCCACCATAAGCGTGAAAACCCTATACTTAGGCCCTCGCTCCACCACTCACCAGCTCTACTTCCTGTGGTGAGTACTCACTAGGAAACTTTTCACACAAGGTGGCTCCACCACTCACCACACTTGAGCAATCACCACGTGGATAGAGCAACACAAGGTCGGGGCCAACTACAGTGAGTTACCCACCAATTTTGGTGGGCGCGAGAGAGTGCACTACAACCCTGCTGTTGCAGGCAGGGAAAAGAAGGCCGTGGTGAGTGCTACCATGGCCCACTCACCACAGGAAAAAAAAAGTTCTTCTGGCATTCGGACCGTGGTGAGGGGTGTAGCACTCACCGAAACGACGTTGTGGTGAGTGGTGGAGCGAGACCCTAGCCACCACTACTTCCTAAAGTCGTGCCCGTTAACAAGCCACGATTTTAGGAAAAGTACGGGCGCCCAAATTAATCCGAGTAGAAATGTTTCTACTCTATTTCTTCCCACAGTAGATAGCTGGACCAAGTGCTGGTGGTGTAACCGAGATATCACCAGCTTGCCATCTCTAGTGACAGCAGCCAACTGATTTTTTGCAGCCCTGAGGCTGCAGTATAGTGGGTTGCCATGCCTCTTCACAGCCTGTAGGTTTTGCGTTTATTTCATCCATTTTGGCCCAAATAGGTCGTTGGAAGGGTGTTAAAATTGCAGGGAGGGCCTTTTTTGGGGGCGGCCAGTCCTCGCAAGCGCAGGTGTGACGTTCAACCTCACACCCTGTGCTGTAGTCCAGTCGGAGTGACTAAGATGCGGAAAAAGGCCCTGAAAGAACAGCAAGATGGGGTGTGCCAACGATTTTTGGGGAATTGAGTGTGGAGACACAGACAAAACCGAAATCTCCCATGTAGTCCCAATTTTAGCGAGAAGTGGCCATCGCCAAGCGGGAAAGGAAACGGGCACGCGCAGTTTTCAAACGTCTATCTAATCCAAAAAGTATCTATGAACCTCCATACGGGTTACTCGACGTCTTTTCAAACGGAAAGGTGGGGGTACGCACGTGGGATCACGTTTTCGAATTAATCCCCCGGTCGCTCACCACAGAGTTCAGAATCCGGCGTAGAGGGCCGCAGTTTGGTCGCTCTTTCTTTGAACTCGTCCTCGCCACGTGTCCGGTAGTGGAATGTTTTTTTTTCTGGTAACGCTCTGTGCGACGACAATCGTTGCAAAGAGTGTTAGGCCAATGGGATGCCATTGTTGTCCACGAGATGACGATCAACTCATTGAAGGGCAATAACAAGGAATAAGGCGGAAAATATGTATCAACAATCACAAACCCAGCACCTACAAACCCAAAACACCTCGTCTCCGGAGGGAAATAATAACGTCCTCCGATCTTCGCGACGGCTTTTCGTATGTCACACTCGCATACACGTGACCTTTTCTCGTTGTACGAGAACGAGCATTATGAGAGCACGTGAAATTGACGTCCGATTGGACCTGTATGGTTCGTTTACATGGTATGAGCTCGTTTGTATCGTTCGTTTACTCAGTCCGTCATTTGATTTGAACAGGAGCACAGGTGTCATCATTTTATTCGAGGAAGAAAGGAAGCAAATATATAGTTGACTTAGCCTTACGTACAATGAAAATAACATAGAAATTGATTTATATCCAAGTCATTAAAACACGGTTCAACCATATAAGAAAATGTTTTGCCCTCAACCTATTTTTATACTCGGCTAAGGACGGCCAACAAAACTTCGAACATAAGAATGAGTAGGGGCAGAAAATCACGTACACGCCAATCATCACCGTAAATTTGAACCATTCATTGCATAAAAGGAGCACAAAAAGAAAAGCAAGGTGGTGTGACCTCGTTAGCCTCTAAAGTTTGGTGATGCTTGTCCCTGTGAAATCCAATCGAACTAAAAGATACGAGTAGGGTGGTGACTCAAATGTAGACAGAGCCGAGGAAGACGTCACGTTATCCAATCATATATATATATATATATAGGGTCACCAGCCCGTACTTACGGAGGTCCCCGGGCAGACCTCCATACGTACGGGCGTTCGGGGTCCCGTACGGGGTCCGAACCTGACGGCGTTCGTTCGTCCCCCGCCAAAAATTATTTCAGGGCCTAAAAATAATAATTTTTTTCTGAATTGTTTTTTGTGAGTTTTCTATGAAGTGAGGTACATGCTTGTAAAATTTCAATTCATTTGGCTAAGCCTAATAAGAATTAAAAATCGCCAAAAATGGCGGTGTCAAAACGTGCTCGCCCACGTAATTTTTCACTTTTTACTTTTTGTTTTCACTTTAGTTCGGGGTCTAAAAAATTTTATTATTTTTTGAATTTTTTTCAGTGGGTTTTGTATTATGTGAAGTACACACCTGTAAATTTTCAGGGCATTTACCTATGCCAAAATAAAAAGAAAAATCGCCAAAGATGGCGGTGTCGAAAACATGCTCGCGCACTCACGAAATTTAATTCTTTTTTTATTTATATTTATTTTTATTATTAGTATTTGTTTCCCGTATTTTATTTTTATTTCAAATTTGGTAAGGAATTCGGATGTAATGCTCAGGCAAATCTTGTTTAGTTTATTTTTCTCCATAACATATCTTTTTTTCAGA